GTTACCTGATCTACAAATTTTGCAAAGGAACCAAAAGAAACAGATAATACCCTAATGGCTGAAATTAAAAACCCAAGTTTTTCGCGTAGAATTCCTCATTAGCGTCCTTCGGCTGCGCTTTAAAAAAAAAATAACTCTCATCAGTATAACACCGGGGTGTCCTCGGTTCTTCCGCATATAACTCCTTTTTCAGTTGACAGCCTTCGGCCGCGCTTCAAAATATTAACCATGGTCAATTCAACGGCGGATTTTATCAAGGGAAAGGAATTTTAAAAGATTTTACATGACTCATCACACGATTATGAATTTCGTCAATACAATGAATGAAAATGAATTTTACACTTATATTTTTCACTTTTATATCCAAAACACTTCATTATATTACATTAGAGAACATTCATTTTGAAGATGATGTTATAAGCTCTATCATAATTATTTTTTCGCGTAGAACTTCTTTTTGTATATAATAATTATATCCAACCATATCCCTTTTAACCCTGAAATCGTGAGATGGTATACTTAAGCCGTCCCAATATAAAAGTGAAAAATATAATGTAAAATTCATTTTATAATGGAAAAAATACGTACTTCAAACTGTTTAAATATTCAACTTCAAACGCAAATATCCCGTTTTATCACCGAAATCCTGGGACGGTATTCTAAAGCAGACCCGAAACACGCACTTTGAGTAGTTGAAGTTTTGAACATTAAATGCAAATATTTCAAAAACTATAAGTCACTATATATTATATATATATAATTTCTTAATCTGGAGAACTTTCTCTATCCGTATATACCCTTTTCGACTGCACGGACTGCAATACACGGGGTGAGTTTCTCCTTGAATTTATAGTTCAACGCTGAAGATGAGCCACGGCCCTTCTACTTGCGCACTTCCCGGAGACGATTCAAGAAGACCAGATCCGACCTATGGTCGAACGAAGGCCATCACGCTTGGACTGGATGGTTGTAAAACAGCTCTTCACTGCAGACTCCATCACGTGGGCTTTGGCCTTTGAAAAATATATGGCCCCGGGTGCGGATGGCATCCTTCCAGCATTTCTGCAACAGGGGGAGCAGGTCTTACTGCCTCACCTTGTTCGGCTGATGAGGGATATCCTAGAGCTGGCATTTATCCCAGAACCTTTGGCACACTGCAAAGGTGATCTTCATACCCAAGGTAGGAAGGAAAAACTATTCGTTGGCAAAATCCTTCAGACCAATTAGTCTAACTTCCTTCATACTTAAGGGTATGGTAAAGATCATTGATCACGAAATAAGATCGAATTTACTGAAGGCTGCACCGCTACACGCAAAGCAGTATGCTTACAGAGCAGGCAGGTCAACGACATTGTAATCTTAGCCAGGGATAAGTTCGTAGACAGTCTCTGCGATATTGTACAAATATTGGGGATGGCAAGGGGTGGTGTAGTGGTGTTGGCTTAAACATCAACCCCTCCAAAATTACAATCATACCGTTTACCAGGCGCAGGTTACTGCCATGCCTCAGAAACCTATCTAAGGATAGGTTTTTCTTGACTGTGTGTGCTAGGGCATGGAACTGGAGATGACTAACACGGTCAAGTACCTAGGCCTCACGCTGAATTCCACTCTACGCTGGAAGTCATGTGGACCTGACCTTATCCAAAGCTACGAAAGAGCTCATGATGTGCAATCGACTTGCTGAGAAATTATAAGGCTGCAACCCGAGGATTATCAGATGGTTGAACACCATGATTGTGAGTTCGATCATAACATATGGAGCGGTGACATGGGTTTCCAAAGCATCGCAGACCTCGGTAGGACTTCAATTATCGCAGCTGAAGGTCCTAAGCAACGAAATGTCACTAGCCCTTCTCCCAAGAGGCAGCATTACCAAAGCAGTAAGCTTCACTAGGAAGTTCAAAGTTACCCTTGGCAGTAAGGCGAAATGGAAAGATTCCATGCTGGACCTACTGCTAAGGGATAGTACCATCAAGTGATACACCGATGGCTCGGTACACGGCGGAGGGGATTGGTGCAGGGGTTGCAGGACTACGCATCAAGCTCTCCATTCCCATGGAAAGTTTTCCTAGCAGGCGGAAGTATATGCTAAAAGTCGATGTGTAGAAATAAACCTCCAACGCAACTATCGCAATCAAAGTATTACCATACTCAGCGATAGTCAGGCGGCACTAAAAGCGATCTCCGCTTTTGAGGTCAAAGCGCTACTAGTGCAAGAGTGCATAGAACGGCTGAACAGCCTATCAAACCACAATAGAGTGGACCTCATTTGGGTGCCTGGTCACAGGGGTATAGCCGGAAATAAACTGGCTGACGAGTTGGCCCGCTCTGCAGCTTCCACAAAAATGGTAGGACCAGAACCATGCGTAGCGTAGGGAGAGAAATTGCCAACATCTCCAAGCCATGCGCCATGCCAGGTTGCTGATCGGGGGTTACGACCTCAGACGGTTTAAAACCGTAATCAATCTCAAGAGAAATAAATTTCGACAACTTGTCGCGTTGTACAGCGACCATTGCAAGCTCAATAAGCACCTATTGAACATGGGCTTAGTCTCTTCTGCAAACTGCCGGTTCTGTGACATGTAGCCGGAAACCCCAGAACACCTGCTAGTGGACTGCACAGCGGTCTGCAGACGCATATATATATTTTTTTAATTTTCTTATTTTGACGCGAAGATTACAAATGCGTGAGCCAAAAGTCTTTCTTTTGTCAATAATTCTATTTTTTTGAATTAAAAAATAATAATTTTTACAAACAATTCAAAAACTTACACACTTTGCAAGTAAATAACCCTGGTCGGTCCAACCTCGGGGTATCCATAGTTGTTTGGCATCGAACTCCTTTCAGCACGAAATATAACTATTGACACCCCGGTGCTGATTGAGAGCGGCAGAAGGCCTCCAGTGCAGAAAGGAGTTCGACGATCTCCTCTATTCGTACATACCATCAGATCACGACGTAAAAAAAATTATGATTGTTACATTCCTTCAGTATTTTTTTTCACAAGAAAATGTAACTCGTTGAACGGGTTATTACAGCTAAGTGATCTGAATTCTACAGAACTCTGCCGCTACAACAAAAACAACGGGAAAACTTTAGTATACCGTCCCAGGCTTTCGGGGATAAAATGGGTATGGGCGGAATAGAATAGAATATGAATATGAGGTTTGCACTGCTACCTAGGGTCTATTGTGCCCTCTCCTCCATCACATGCATTCCCAAAATCCCAGCACCCTGAAAAACTCCAACAACTTGCTGTGCGGTGCAATCTAGAATCAGGTGTTCTGGTGTTTCCGGCCCTATGTCCCATAATCGGCAGTTGCCACAAGAAGCTATGCCCATGTTTGACAGGTGTTTCTTGAGCCTACAGTGCCCAGTGTAGAGCGCGACAAGGAGTTGGAGTTTGTCTCTGGGGAGGTTTATCATTGTTTTGAACCTGGCTATGTTGAACCCTCCCAGTAGCAGTTTAGCATGACGCAGCCCTGCTGCCTGTTGCCAGTGACTGTCTCTGCTCGCTCGCTCCTCCGTACGGAGCAGCTCCTTTATTATATGGGGCCCCACCGCAATGCATGGTTCTGGCCCCTTCATTTTGAAAGCAGCAGCAGAGCGGGCAAGTTCGTCTGCCAGCTCGTTACCGGCTACCCCTTTATGCCCCGGCCCCCAGATCAGGTGTACACGGTTGCAAGCTGATAGGCGGTTACGCCTTCCCATGCACTATGGGCGGATAGAGATCCTGCAGATCAAGAATATGTATAGATAAAGCCGCGGGAAATTTATAGTTTTCGAGATATTTACGTTTAAAGTTGAAAATTTCAACTATTTAAAGAACGCATTTTTTCGATTTCAAATGAATTATACACTTATATTTTCCACTTTTATATCCAATAACTCTTCACTAATTCGTTTGTACACGTTTATTATACATTATATAGTGCAAAAATAGTTTAATTCAATAATTAAATTATTGTTAAATTCTATTAATTCTGACAATAACAAAACTGTTGCAAATTGTCATATAACCAGTGTGACCTTATCGACATCTTTTGTAATTGAACTGAAAGAAATGAAAACCGATAATACCCCAAATACAGGAATCCAAAACCTAGAGAAATAAACTATTACAGAGCATTGATGTTAAGTATTATGTTGTACCCTCTATGACAATATTACTTTTTTTTGCGTTGGCGGCCCTCGGCCCCGCTTCAAAAAAAATAACACTGGTCTGTCCAACACCGGGGTGTATCAAAATATTTTTCGCGCAGAACTTCTTTTTGTGTTGGCGGCCTTCAGCCGCGCTTATAAAAAAAAAAATAACTCTGGTCGATCCAACACCGGGGTGTACCAAGGGTTTTACGCACAGAAATTCTTTTTCCGTTGGTTCCTGTATCTAGGGTATAATCTCTCTGTTTATTTTAGTTTTCTTCGTTTACAAAATATATTAGTATGGCAACACTGGGGTTTTGACATTCACAACCACTTTGTTATTGTCAAAATTAATAAAAATTAAAGAATGAATTAAATATTGAAATAAAGCTATTTTTGCAGCATCTAATATAAAAGAAATGTCTAAAAACGAATTAGTCAAGTGTTAGTGGATATAAAAGTGAAAAATATAAGGGTATAATTCATTTTAAATCGCAAAAAATACGTACTTTAAATAGTTGAAATTTTCAACTTTAAACGTAAATATCTCGAAGATAAGAATAAGTTTCCCGCGGCTATATCTATATATATTCTTGATCTGGAGGATGTCCTCTATCCGCCCATTTTATCCCCGAAAGCGTGGGACGTTATTCTAAAGCCGACCCACCTAATTTATTGGCGGAACTAAACTATACATTTACCCTACAATAAGCCGATTTTAAATCCTAACTTTAAAAAAATTAGCAAATACTTTCTAATGACGACTCAACCTATAAAAAAAAAACATAAAACTTAAAATAATATTGCTTTTAAACAACAAAAAAAATATAAACTACAATTATGTTATGCTTACGTGCGCAAAACAGCTTTATTGCTGCTGTTCTTTCCGATTAGAGTTGTCGACGCAAGCAAATTCGAAAGCTCGCAATTAATCAGACTGCAAAATTAACTAAAGTTACCAATTTTTTTAAGATAAATTTTAATAAATCTATTTTCCTCCTTTTGTTTATTTAGAGCAAACTGCACAAGACACTCTTAAATAAGAACCATTTTTTATAATTTGCATATTTTTTGTTTAACTTTAAATTCTCTTTACACTTTTCGATTATGTACTTATTTGTTGTTTGGTAATTACTATTTAGTAATAGATTGATTTGAAATCAAATCCTACTATTGCAGCTTATGGGGACATCCGCAATGTATTAAATAAATAGGCTGTTTGCGTGTCCTAAATTGCATTCCTCTGCATTTTTTCAATATCACAAATTGTAATATGTGTATACGACACAATATCGTATGTACGTATGTAGATAAATAATGGAACCAGTTACACTTTTACTCAATCGAAGGCACATAACGTATCAAATAATGTACACCCTTTTAATACTTGCACTGAACCTTTCATATTAGATTCTACAATTTCTAATAATTTTTCACCTATACTTTTTTAAAGGTAATTTAAGTGTCATTTGTTCTTCGTTTTAATATCAAAAGCGCTTTTCGACACTTCCCAATCACTCAAAAAAGTTAGATAAATAGATGAGAACGAGAATTTACGTCTATTACTCACAGGTTCATCATATGGTAGTCCGTACTTCAACTAAAAGTGGTAGTTATTCAACACTAATCGAGTGTTTGCACTTTCACATATCTACGTTTGACTTTTATACATAGGCTGTGTACCGAAAGGTAACATTTTTCCATGTGTTGAGTTGGAGTCAAAAAATTTCCGGTTCGGCTTTGGTATACCGTACCAGGCTTTCGGTGATAAAACGGGTATGGGCGGCTAAAAGAGATCTTTCAGATCAAGAATATATCGAGATATTTACGTTGAAAGTTGAAAATTTCAACTATTTAAAGTACGTATTTTTTGGATTTCAAATAAACTATACACTTATTTTTTCACTTTTATATCCACTAACACTTCACTAATTCTTTTTTTGATATGTTTTATATTATTTGCTGAATATATAGCTATATTTCAATATTTAAATCATTCTTCAATTTTATTAATTTTTACAATAACAAAATGTTGTAAATATCAAAAAACCAATGTTGCCATACTAATATATTTTGAACACGAAAAATAAAATTAAAAGAGAGATTATACCCTACGTACAGGAACCAAGGCAAAACGAAGTTCTGTGCGAAAAAACTTTGGTACACCGGTGTTGGACCGACCACGGTTATTTTTTTTGAAGCGCGGCCGAAGGCCGCCAACGCAATACGGAGTTCTACAAGAAAAACTAATATTGTCATAGAGGGTATAACATAATACTTAACATCAATGCTCTGTAATAGTTTATTTTTCTAGGTTTTCGATTCCTGGATTTGGGCTATTATCTGTTTTCATTTCTCTCAGTTCAATTACAAAAGTTGTCGATAAGGTAGTACTGGTTATTTGACATTTTAAAACCCTTTTGTTATTGTGAGAATTAATAGAATTTAACAATAATTTAAATATTGAATTAAACTATTTTTGCACTATATAATGTAAAAAAAAATTTGTACAAACGAATTAGTGAAGTGTTAGTGGATATAAAATTGGAAAATATAAGTGTATAATTCATTTGAAATCGAAAAAATGCGTACTTCAAATAGTTGAAATTTTCAACTTTAAACGTAAATATCTCGAAACCTATAAGTTTTCCGCGGCTATATCTAGATATATTCTTGATCTGGAGGATATCTTCTATCCGCTCATAGCTATCTTATCCCCGAAAGCCTGAGACGGTATACTAAGTTTTCCCAAATTTCCTATGGTTTAAAAATTTTACATTTTTCTGTGCCAAATGGAAAGTTTAAGTTGTTTTGACAGTTGAAGTTCAAACCAAACGCAATTTCGTCGTTTGAGATTGCCTTGTTGTTTAAATTATTAAATATATTCGTAAAATGACTTTTATGAAAAACAAGTACCTTGCTTACTAATAACAATAAAAATGAAACTAGAAAAAACTCATTAATTTTAAGGTTTGTTATAAATTGAGAATTTTAGGCAACGTGGTAGGCTACTTGCATGCGGAACACATATGCACTTGCCTAATTTCATATGAATATACAATATATATATATATGTATCTTTATAAATATGTCCATTTACATTAAGAAGAAAAAATGATTTGTAGAAGTTTTTCTTTCTTCGTGAGAAAGTTATAGCAAGTGATTTCACGAAACAACGCCGAAGCTTTCGTTTTGAGAAATTAAATTAATTGTAATCACAGCAGCGTATTAGAAAATTTTCCTTCTATTAAATTAGATTTGAACTTATAATTTTAAAATTATTTATTGATTAAAAGATATATTGTAATTTGTTATAATTATTATATATGATTTCGTCGAAGAGTTCACAACAAAAAATAAAGGAAAAAAAATTCTACATTGTAAATTAATTGTATTTACGTTATTTGATTAAGTGAAAACAAATTTGTACAGGAAACCGCTATATTTATATACATAAATATATATATTTACAGTTAGACCTATGTTAAACTTTTCGTTTTCGAATTTCATAATCGTCTTAGCCCCGTTTCCTTAATGTATCGTTATTATTATCCTTAACCGCTGGTAGCTTATCTGGATGATTGCTGTAACTAACATAACCGTTTTTACTACCGTGTGGTTAGCTTATTTACAAATAGTTTGAAATTTGTGAATGCGTGGGGAAAACAACTCACAATCTTGCATTGTAAAGACACAAAACGTCATGAGCCATGTATGTGCACATTCAGACAAGGACTCATTTTGCCGCCCAAACCGGTTTTCGTAAGCAAGAGGAACGACGAAGAGACTGGGCACGCTTTCTGCAACAGCTCGCTGCTACGCAATTCGACACTCCTTTTCATTCCAATTTTTAAATTCCTTTCATGTGTGCAATAGCGCTTGATTTCAAAGGAATATTCCTCTTTTTCGTATGTTATATGCGTATATGAATGCGACTATGCATAATATATAATGATATGATGAGTGACAAAAAAGTCTTCTTACAGATTTGTTCTTCGATACGCCGCATCTCCACAAGCAACGTACAGGGGTTGGTTGAATTAATCATTATCGTTGTTGTTGTTGTAGCGGCAGAATTTTGTCGAGTTGACGGTTCTTGGCCGGAAAAAATCCGGGTCCGTTCCGGTTACGTAGACCCGACTGTTATGGAAACGGAAAAAATCATTCTCGTAATCATTCTTGCTCGAAATGATGTCGGTTAAGGTTGTTCGAACTGATATAGCGTATTTTTGAGCTCTTGACCGTTCAAAAATTTTATGGGGACGACAAAAATTTATGTGGAGGATGAAAAAAGTAGAAATCTAAATTTTTCTGCATTTGTATAGTTGGGAAAAATAAGATTTTATGTTTTAAGACTTAAATATTGCAGTTGTTGCATAAAGTTTATTTACCAATTCATTAGTTAAATATGATAATTGAAATTTACATATGCCAGCAATTATTATTAAAATATTAATAACTCATATAAATACTTTCATATATATGTATTTAATAACTATTTTCCATGATTTGTTAAACTTTATGTTTTGAATATAACTTTGCTAAATTGTAGTTTATGCAACAAAACATAAAACATTAGCATTTCATCTGTGCTGCCATTATGCCACCGAAGCTATTCACGTACATGTTGCCTCTTCAAAATTGTTTGCAAATGAAAACAGCGCTCTCAAACCACAACAACGACAGTACATTGCTAGCAATGTATGGCATGATATGTATTTAGTACTCAATTGCCAAACATTAGCAATGTGCAGTCTACATTGGCAATTTTGACATTTGAAATTCAAAACCATTGTATAAGCCTATAAGCGGCCTTTACACGGTCATTCATGTTTGCAAGCATGTGCGGCGTGATGAGTAGAATGAGCTTGTAAACATAATAAATTCGTGTTTGTCATACATGTGCGATGGTTTTTAAAAATTTTTAAAAACATGATGTTGTTATGAACATGTTTTATGGTGTAAACGCTTGCATCATGCACGAAGTATATTTTTTTTCAGTCTTAAGTGCCGTTTCACATTGGGATGCAAAAGAGTCTGATGTTTTTCAAATTTTCTTTTGGTGTCGCTCTGGGCATTCACACGGTCAAAAAGAGTCCAGCAACTCGAGTCTAGTTTTTCTGCATTCCTTTTCACAAAATGTTCGTAAATATTTGTGCGGTTGGACTGCGCAACACCTCGCAACACTGCGTGCTGCGTATTTCATTTGTATGTTGAGATGATGGTCACACATTTTGCTTGCAATGAATTACCATGAATATGGTAGAACAATATGCATAACACAAGTACCTACCCGCTAAATAGTTTCAAAAAAATAGTAAAGACGGGAATTCCCTAATCCACAAGAATGTATTGAATATCCGCTACTAATATTTTCAAGGCCAAATTTATAATAGGAATTTCCTAATCTTTAAGTATTAAAAATTCATAATTTCTTTACTCCATAATCTATATCTTAATATTTACAATTTGTCTTAATATTTCTATTATTCTATGCATACGTATTTGCATATTACATACAAAAATAGATAACAGAACTCAAATTTGCGATCGAATTCATTTGAAACCGAGCGCTCTTGCAACCATTCAAAGGATTTGAAAGTGAAAAGGAATGCTGAGAAGGGTAGCAGCGAGCTGTTACGAACAAGAACACAAAGCGTGCCACCCGAACACGAGTGGCACGGTCCCTTCGTCTTTCCTCGTCGTCCCCTCGCCCACAATAAAGTGGTATGAGACTCTTTTGCGTCCCAATGTGAAACGGCACTAAGAACATTGAAGCGTAATGACGTCACGGATAAACGAAGAACTGTGGAAGGACTTCTTTGAAATTTATCTAAGCGTTCTGGATGGCTGGATTATAATTTTTTAAAAAAATCATATAATATAAAAAAAAAACATATAAATAAAAAAAATTATAACAAAGAAACAATACAAGTCGTAATAAAATAACATGGTTTTATGATGAACGTTTTAAATTAAATTAGCAAATAAAATTTAGTTGCACGTTGCTCAAAAATATTTGTGTCGTTCCCTGAAATTTCGTTTCGCACTGCTTTTGTTAGCTATTTTTAGCGGGTTTATTTCTGGCATCCCGCCTTTTTTGATATCAGCTGTTCGAATTTCCCTGATTTTAATAATCAGGGAAAGATAATAACAGAAAAATCAGCGAAATTGAGAGAGTCTCGCTTCATGTCAGAGATGTCTCATGTGAGATGTCTCTCACTGGAAATGAGAGCGCAATTGATAAACGTCAAAACCTACTGAACTCAAACAACTGTCAAAGTTCAGTAGGTCTGACACAATATGTAAACAGAGAGATTTGTGCTGCTGTTGAAGATCAATAACAAATATTGGAAAACAATGAAAATGAAAGAAAACGCGAAATTGAAATGTATGTGATGATATCTTTTATGATGTCATGCTAAGTGGTATTGATTTTCAATTGAAAATTTTTAAAAACATTTTTTAATTGAGAGCTAATACATTTGTTCTTTTGATTACGTATTGAAAGTTCAAAAATCAACTGTTTAATATATCACAAAATCACAAAAAAAGAGTATAAAAAGTTTCTGCATATGTTTAACGGATACATGTATAATAACATTTAATCTTTATAAATGATGGGTATTTTAATTTAAATTCCCAAAAATTATTATTTTGTCCGATCTGGCTACAATGGATAATGTTATAAAAAACGCTAATTTTGAGGCGCTCTCACACTGGAAAGAGTTGGGCATCCCATTATCCCTGCTTCATGTCATTTCATCCTTGATGTTGCTTCGTTCACAAATAACAGAGAAATAAAGTATGATTGCATGTTCGACCGTTTAAACGAAAACCAGTTTTTTTTGCATCATACCATGTTTGCATACAAAAATGACCGTGTAAAGACCGCTATAGGTTTATACAATGTTCAAAACAAACACAATTGCGTCGTTTGAACTTTCGTCTTGGTAATTAAACTATTAAATATTTGCTTTGCTAATTACGATATAAATATTAGCCCACTACTAAGTTATTTGCATGTGATATGTATACTTGTTTACATGTCTTGATATTAATATATGAACAAATACTTTAAAGAAATAGTTTTTATATACTTAAGAATTACATATTTAAGTATATTCTTCAGCACATACATTTTTTGTATGCAAGGGTTCTTTTAAATTCGTTTCTTCGTAAATGCATAACTGTCATTTGAATTCACCACAAATAATTTTAAAAAATCACTTATCTGTCAGAATTTTTTTACTGTTTGGCATACAGTCAAAGTAGAGATTCGATAAAATTCAATTACTTTATTCGTAAGTAATTTTTGTACAATATGCTTTTTAGATGTGTATGTCTCCTATACTTTTCAATTAGTTCTGCCAGAGTGTAGTAAACTCTGGCCCACGAAATAAACAGAAAGTCAACTTATTTTCTTTATATAGCGGCATCTCTTTTCTGCTTGTATTAAACTTGCAAATTTCCATCGACGAGTAGAAAATTTTATTGAACATTCGATTGTGTTAGTGGCGAAAAGTGGTCTTCGGGTTTTCTTCCGTCATATATTCAGAAAAAATCGACTTATTTAAAATAATAATATTTTGACTAAAAAAGTATTATATTTTTATCATGAATGAAGAATACGACGCAATTGTGCTAGGTACCGGTTTAAAGGAGTGCATTCTAAGTGGAATGCTCTCTGTTTCGGGCAAGAAAGTTTTGCATATCGACCGAAATAAGTATTATGGCGGCGAGTCTGCCTCAATTACACCATTGGAGGAACTATTCCAACGTTTTAACTTTGAAGCTCCTGGTGAAAAATATGGGCGAGGTCGTGATTGGAATGTTGATCTCATACCAAAGTTCCTTATGGCTAATGGTCAGCTTGTAAAATTACTAATCCATACGGGCGTGACCCGCTATCTTGAGTTCAAATCCATTGAAGGAAGCTATGTATACAAGGGAGGAAAAATTGCCAAAGTCCCAGTTGACCAGAAAGAAGCTTTAGCTTCTGATTTAATGGGTGAGTAGAAACATATATAATATCTCAAAGTAAAATCGTAAGCGACAACTCCAAATCATTGACATTGATTTCTTTTGTTTCCGTCATCGTATACTTCTATCATACATTTTTGTGTATTCGTTACTTTTTCTCGCTGGTAAATCGCCGTGACACGTATCGGCGTCGACCATTTATACAACGATTTCGTTTTCGTTTTCGTTGGACGGAAGGGGTGCAGATTAGAAGGATCGGTTAAACGAAGCCATAGTCTGCACAAACGATATATTGGACACAAAAGAAAATATATTGATATAACTAGGAAATACAACTGATAATTTCAAAGTCGTAATTCAGAATTTATATACAAGGTTGAGAAAGTAAAGTTACGACAACTTTGATGATAGAATGGCTGGCGTTTAGAATGGCATCCCACGAATTTAGAAATGGATATGTACGGATAGAGTAGGCTCTCCAGATTAAGTTAAATGCTGAATTAAAGTTATAGGAATCAAATTATGGGCAGAGAGAGGAAATCCTCCAGATCCGGAAACTGAGAAACTTTAGTATAACATCCCACGATTTCAGGGTTAAGAGGAGTATCGTTGGATAGAGAAGATTCTCCAGATCACGAATATATACCATTATTGCCGCCGGGAACTTATAGTAGGGAAAACTTTGGTATAACGTCCCAGGCTTTCGGGGATAAAATAGGTATGGGCGGATAGAGGAGATTCTCCAGATCAAGAATATATATAGATGTAGCCGCGGGAAACCTATAGCTTTCGAGATATTTGGGTTTAAAGTTCAAAATTTCGACTATTTAAAGTAAGCATTTTTTCTATTTCAAATGAATTATACACTTATATTTTCCACTTTTATATCCACTAACATTTCCCTAATTCGTTTGTACACATTTATTTTACATTATATAGTGCAAAAATAGTTTAATTCAATAATTAAATTATTGTTAAATTCTATTAATTCTGACAATAACAAAACTGTTGCAAATTGTCATATAACCAGTGTTACCTTATCGACATCTTTTGTAATTGAACTGAAAACCGATAATACCCCAAATACAGGAATCCAAAACCTAGAAAAATAAACTATTACAGAGCATTGATGTTAAGTATTATGTTGTACCCTCTATGACAATATTACTTTTTTTTGCTTTGGCGGCCCTCGGCCCCGCTTCAAAAAAAATAACACTGGTCTGTCCAACACCGGGGTGTATCAAAATATTTTTCGCGCAGAACTTCTTTTTGCGTTGGCGGCCTTCGGCCGCGCTTCAAAAAAATAACCCTGGTCGGTCCAACACCGGGGTGTACCACGGGTTTTACGCACAGAAATTCTTTTTCCGTTGGTTCCTGTATCTAGGGTATAATCTCTCTGTTTATTTTAGTTTTCTTCGTTTACAAAATATATTAGTATGGCAACACTGGGGTTTTGACATTCACAACCATTTTGTTATTGTCAAAATTAATAAAAATTAAAGAATGAATTAAATATTGAAATAGAGCTATTTTTGCAGCATCTAATATAAAAGAAATGTCTAAAAACGAATTAGTCAAGTGTTAGTGGATATAAAAGTGAAAAATATAAGGGTATAATTCATTTTAAATCGCAAAAAATACGTACTTTAAATAGTTGAAATTTTCAACTTTAAACGTAAATATCTCGAAGATAAGAATAAGTTTCCCGCGGCTATATCTATATATATTCTTGATCTGGAGGATCTCCTCTATCCGCCCATACCCATTTTATCCCGGAAAGCCTGGGACGTTATTCTAAAGCCGTACTTTAAAAAAATAACCCTGGCCGATCCAACACCAGGGTGGTCGTGATGCCTTTCGCGTCCAACTTTTTTCTACATTGGAGGCCTTCGGCCGCGCTTCAAAAAAATAACACTGGGTTAAAAAGGGAATGGTTGGATAGAGGAGATTCTCCAGATAAAGAATATGATCTGGAGGACCTCCTCTATCCGCCCATGCACATTTTATCCCCGCTCCTGGGACGCTATTTTAAAGCCTATTTTAAACCCCTATGTAATATCAAATAAGTGTGAGAAACGAATTAGAGAAGTGTTAGTGAATATAAAAGTTAAAAATATAAGTGCTAAATCATAATCGAAGAATCACGCACTGCAAATAGTTGAATTTTGAACTTTAAATGCAAATATCACAAAAACCATAAGTCAACGGCAACTATATACTTATATATATTTTTTCTTAATCAGGAGAGTCTCCTATATCCCTACGTACCCCTTTTGCTGTTGGGAAAATTGTTTTCCCAAAATTCGTGTGAGTTATATGAATAAGAAAAACCAATTTTATAAATTTTGATTTGCCAATAAAAAAGGGTAAATTTCAAAATAGCATCCTGAGCTGATAGAAATTAAAAATATATTTCATAAATTTAACAAATTTGAACGTGTAGTTTTTATACTCTTGCAACATGTTGCTACAGAGTATAATAGTTTTGTTCACCCAACCGTTGTTTGTATCACCCAAAACTAATCGAGTTTGATATAGGGTTATAATATAATCGTTATATATAGTGTGAGTGATTGTCTGTCCGTCTATGCATGCTGTAACGTGAGTAAAAATTGAGATATCTTGATGCAACTATACATGTTTCTCGGCATCGTAAGACGGTTTGGAGATGGGCGTAAACAGACTATTGCCACGCCGATAAAACAACATTAATCGAAAACTAATAAATAGCCTCAAATATGCTCCACAATAAGATACAAAGCTGTTATTCGGTATAACGAATCGCATTAGAGGGGCATCTGCGGTAAAAAAAAGTTTTGAAAAAGTGGGCGTGGCCCGAACTTAATAAGTATAATGTACGTATCGCCTAATTCACTAAAGCTATAATAACTATATATAATATAGTGTGAAAATGGATGAAATCGGATAATAATTACGCCCACCCCCCACACGGTTTTGTTAAAAACTACTCAAAGTGCGATAAATCTATAAATAAATACGTTAGAGGCATAAAATCTTACAACCGATTTGATAAAAGGGGTCTTTCTTAGAGCCGCTGACAAATGGGACTTTGAGCTTGGCCCCGCCCACATTTAGGATAAAACCCATATCTCGGGACCTACTCAACCGGTTTTAACCAAATTCGGTAGGTAATATAATTCTGATATTCTTATGTGACAGTGCGAAAATGAGCGAAGTCGGACTTCCCATATAACAAAATTTTAAATTCCATCTGAGTGTTTCACTTTCCAGTATACAAATCAAGCACCAATAAATGTAAGGGAATAAAACTTTACCAGAAAAGTGTGCCACCTTATGACGAAAAATTGTCCAAATCGAACCAAAACTATTCAATTTCCTATGTACCGAATATGTGGACCCCAGTCTCTCTTGCAAACCTTTTATCGAAAATATCGCTCAATCTGTGAGATATATTATAAAAATTCGGAGGAAATCGTTTTATGATAATAGTATGCCGGTGTATCAAAATTGGATCGAACCAGGTCAATAATTCCCTTAGTCCCCATATACCTAATATGAAAGTAAAGTGTCTTAATTAAATGAAGTGGGCGCCTTTTTTTCTAACAGTGCATCTGAGTGCCTAAAATGGATAAAATCGGATGGAAACTTTCCCTAGCCCCCATATGACTAGTATCAGGATTGTCAAACATCCGGTGAGGTACATAAATGGAACTCAGAGAGCATCTGTTTCTGTTAACAATGTGTAGTAATGTCAAAAATAGAAAAAATTGGGCCAATAGGTGTAATCTATCTCCGAAAAAAAAAACTTCCTTTGGCATTATTCCTATATCATATATCGGTCAATATGTAAGATATCTTAGCAAAATTAACTAAACGTATAATATTGGATATACTTTAGTTTAACGCCGAAAATATGTGAAGTTTTGTTGTACTACATATAATAATTTCCGTTATTACTTTATTATTACGTTAATGGTTTAGCGCTGAACATCAATGGAGTTGGTCTGGTCCTTGGTCTTAATTATCAAATATTAAATTTAATGTTATGTTAAGTATATCTCATTTGAAGACGATTTTAATATAATTTTCGCTGACGGCAAGTAAAATATAGTTTTAAAACTAATTTAGTCCTATAATATAACTTAAAGTATCAAATTCGATCTCCTTGAGCGGCTAACTAGCAATGGAATCCGCTGTCAGGGATATGCGGATGACATTGTTATCTTAGCTAGGGGTAAATTCGAAAACACACTCTGCGATATCGTACAGAGGGGACTGTGACTGGGGGGGGGACAAAGGGATGGTGTACTGGGGTTGGCCTAAACATCAACCCCTCTAAAACTACAATCATTCCCTTCACTAGACGGAGGTCACTGCCAGGCCTCAGAAATATATCTCTTGATGGCAGAGTGGTGGAGATGGCCGGTCAAATACCTGGGCCTCAGCACTGGAAGTCATGCTAGAACTTACACCGCTACATTTGGTAATCAAACAGACAGCCAAACAGACTCCACTCAAAATGACAGCAAAGGGAGTTGGAAAAGGGAAGGTAATCTCATCCCAGCAGATGAAGACGCTAAGTGAGGAAATATCACTGGCCCTTCTCCCGAAGGACAGCATTACCAAAGTAGTAAACTTCACTAAGAAGTTCAAAGTTACCCTCGGCAGCAAGTCTGAATGGAATGATTCATCACTGGACCTGCTGCTAAGGGAAAGCACTATCAAGTGGTACACCGACGGGTCGAAAACGACGGAGGGGATTGCAAGGGTCGCTGGGCCAAGCACCAAACTCTCCATTCCCATGGGAAGTTTCCCGAGCATTTTCCAAGCCGATGTCTATGCTATAAGTCGGTGTGTAGAGATAAACCTACAACCCAACTATCGCAATAAAAGTATTACTATACTCAGCGATAGTCAGGCGGCACTAAAAGCGATCTCCGCTTTTGAGGTCAAATCGCTACTAGTGCAAGAGTGCATAGAACGGCTGAACAGCCTATCAGAGCACAACCGAGTGCGCCTTATTTGGGTGCCTGTCCACAGGGGTAT